CTACTTCTCCCCTTTGTCTCATGCATGTATGGGCGTGTGTGAGTTCTTCAGAGTGAGAGTGGCAATCAAATTGTCAGACAACCAAGTTCATAACACAGGTGCTTCAGCAAAGCTTGGCATGCATTTGTTCCTTAACCTATTTAGCTCGGAGGTTGTGGTGGTTTAAGCATTCGTTCTTCAACCTATTTTCACTACAGTTGCACTCTGCAAATTTTGATCGACAGGATGACATGCCGAGATGGACACCACTCAGCCCGGTGCAAGTGGCGGAATCTGCTATCTGCAGAACCGACTGGTTAACATTCCCTGGGGCTCCAGTTTGATCCAGTTGTTTCCAGTTGTTTCCAAACATTTGCTATTACAGATGTGCAAGACACAGTAGGCGCCAAGAGGATAGTAGGTAGTTGGCTGAGGCTAGGGGAGGGAGGGAGACTCCACTGATGCCCCCCGGTGGTTTCACCCCCAATACCCGACTGTGTGGCAGGGTAGGCAGGGAAGAGTAGATTGAACAGGGGACACTGGACCCGGTTTCCAGCACATTGGCGTCACTTTCATTGATGTGTTGTTTTGCCAAGATGTACTCAAGGGACGCTGGACCCGGTTTCCAGCAGGTGCTGCTCCCCACCAATCGATAGAGCGGCCCGCTAGGCAAAGCCTCAATCCTGGTGGTTCTCTTAACACCACCAGGATAGAGGTCTTGCACAAGGGCCTTTCAAAAAAAAAAAAAAAAAAAAAAAAAAAAAAAAAAAAAAATTCCCTGGGGCTACTACTCGGAATGGTACGAGCATTTGAAAAAGAAACAAAGACAAAGTTAAGATTTCAAAAGTCAATTACTTTCTAAGGACAGACTGTCCGAGCCAAGTGATCTGATTGTCGTGTCCGTGGTGTGATGTTGTGTGTGTGTGTGGTGTAAGTTCACGGACTCTACAGCCCTGGTGGTGCGCTGGATATCACGACCGGTAGGGATCATGTGGTTCATAGAGGCAAGATCAGACTGCCACGATCAGATGCAGAGAGGTCGAGATGACAATTGATGGCCGCAATTTCTTGATCTTGCCTATTTCACCAGGCGATACACGCTTGTGAGGTCTACAGTCTTCCCCCGAATACAACGTACGGTCATTATAGCTGAATTTAGACTGAAAGAGAGCAAATTCGGCGATAATGACCGTGCGTTGTATTCGGGGGAAGACTGTAGTCTTCAAAAAGAAAACATAGATAAGTTCTTTGAAATCAGAACTCAAAATCAAAAATTTCAAAGGTATTTAACTATTACAATAAACTTGTTTGCTTACTCGAAGAAAAAATTAAACATATCATAATAAAATAAAATAGAAAAAATTCCTTATTTATCTATGATAATAAAATAAAATTTAATAAAGAGATATTACTATTCTAATCCACTACATCGTTATTCAATCGAATGAAGTTCATATTAACATCAACCCTCCTCACTTATTTCCCACCCAAGGAGATCATAGAAATCGTGTTTCCAATAAATAATGGGTCTCGCTTCACTACGCAACACTCTACATGCATTTGAACACTTTCGGCACCCAATGCATTCAAAACATTGGACTCTCTTTAAAAAAAAAACCTTAAACTACTCGTCCGCATGCACTTGGTCCAGAGAGCGTCCAAATGCATCTAGATTGTTGTGTAGTGGAGCAAAGCTCCATACCAGAAATAAAATGCAAAACATACTCACGGAAACATATTTCATGCCAGTGGAGGGCGTGCCTTCCAACCAGATTGCTGAACTAGGACGGTTTTTTTTGTTCTCTCTTTTTGGACTTGACTTTGAGGGCCTCGCCACACAGCCTGTCGAAACGTGAAAACGACAAAAATGTCGCAGGTGGCCATGTTGTAGCGGGAAGTTCATTCTCGTTTTCCACATTTCGACAGCCTGTGTGGCGAGGCCCTCAGTCCCTATCTTGAAGCGCACGGAAATCATCCAACATTGCCCATGTAACAACAAAAAAAAAAAAAAATAATAAATAAATAAAAAATCATACAACTGAAGAACAGTTTGATTGCTTTTTCCCCTCACTTTTTTCTTTTTTAAACCACCAGTTGTGAAGTGAAGGAACTGAACAGCAAGATCAGTTTCTGGATGAGAATGGCAATCCAAGAATCCACCCATAAAGACATACTATTACGCATGCAAGTTTGAGCAAATCCGAACCAAAGGCATCAATCAAAATAATCACCAATGAAAAACAGGATCGATCCACAAGTAGCGAGCACACAACCAAAGCCTCGGCCGATCGGTATGCCGACTCGTGCCCAGCCTGGAGCTACTGGGCGTTCACTTTACTGACACTCATTTAGAAGGGGGGGAAAAAAGAGAGAAAAGAAACACGATCGACATTCTTCTTTCAAAAAAAAAAACGAAGAAACAACTTCGAATCCAAATGAATGACAAAATAATTCTGAATTACCCGGGGCCAGTAAGTTCAACGACAATATCTCAAGGCTACAGAGAGAGAGAGAGAGAGAGAGAGAGAGAGAGAGAGAGAGAGAG